AAAACTTATTCCTTAATGACATTTCCATATATTTTCTGCTCGTTAGTAAGTGACTATGAATTTTGACAAAAAGTAAAATAAAAAATGTCAAAATGTTTGACAAAACACAACAAATGTACGCGATTTAAATCCGGAAAAATAGTTTCATTTCCTATGTGTAACAATCGCGAAAACCTAAGAACTCGAAAAAATGTCAAATCAATATGTGTATAAATCACCCAAAAATAAATTAAACAACAGATTATTTGGAAAAGATTGCTACTTACCAATTAGGCCGCCTTATGTGTTGTTGCTTTCTACTTATAGCACACTATGAGTAGAAAGTACTTAAGAAATGCATTACTAGGGCTACAATGCATTTGACTTTTTTTTTTTTTTTTTTTTTTTTTTATTGCGACTCGACAAAATGACTGCACCGCGCCTGATGGAAAGTGCGAATACAGTCCAGAGATGAGAGTAACGGATGGAAAACACAAATATCTTCACTCCGTCACTATCATTTTGCCGGTCTGGCCAAATGCACTGGATGTACACCAACTGATCCCTGAACGCGATTCGCAAAAGCGTTTCACTGTGGAGGGTTTTCCGCCGTGTGTACTGTGGTCGCTATCCAGTCGGCACAGAGCCTACCACAATGCTAAGCAGATGGACACTTGTGACGCCCTCGGTCGCCTCTTACGACCCCCACGGGCATGTATGGGGAGGCGACAATGTATTCTGAAGCCGTCGCCCCACGGCGACTGTAATAATGAATTAAATAACTTCATTGTCTACATAAACATAAAGCAGGTATATTCGAAATTCAAATTTCTTATGCGGCAGGCGTGGCTCAAGGCAATCATAGACAAGGATTGATTTTCGTTTTTATTTTTAAAAATCGAACCTTGACTATTTTAGCAATAATAGAGACGCATTTGTAAAAAAATAAACATTATTATTGTGCACATCAAAATCATATTCACACTGCCTCCATGGCTTCGGCCATCGGTTACCATGCTTGCCTGCCACCAAAATAAATCGCATATATTTCTTTTTTCAAACAAACCAACGAAAGTTTGCCGTGACGACGGGACCTGTAAAAGGGCCCGTTGGTTTGTGTGAGAACAAAAGATACAAATATACTGGAGTTACGTCCGAAAAACTAGTTTCATTTTCTATGCGTAACAATCGCGAAAACCTAAGAAGTCGATAAAATTCATTACAAATATGTCTGTTACTTTTCAAACGTGGAATTAGAAGCTTTTTCTTTCTTAATGTTTTATTTTTTTGAAACGAAACATCTCCACGCCATTCCTGTGCGCATCTCTTGCTATTAAAACTCCGGGCTATCATGGCGTCACCTACTTCCCGGTAACTATGTCACTTAACTATATTTACGAGGACATTGTTATATACTTCACTTTCGCTCTAATATCGCGTAATAACTTTAGGTTTGATACCTACGTAACTTACGCACGTTATTTTTAAACGTACCTATTTTTCACGCATAATTTTCTTATCTATACGTAGAGAAACAACGAATGAAGTTCGAATTTTGAAATTGAAAATGTTCGATATGCAAAACCAGGTAAACAAAAGGTAATTTATAAAGAAGAGAAAAGAATATCATTAATTACCTCTCAAATTGATATACCTGGTACATTATCAGAAGGTCCCTTTACCTTATCTGCCGATAGCTGCAAGGGCTCAAAGGACCGCTCTCAATAAATTTATGAAAGGAATATTGCCAATAAGGGTCCGCCATATCCTATTAATTAAAACACTTAATTAATTCACCTGAAATGGTTTTAATCAATTCGTTCCTGCTCAATTTATTAAGGTATAGGTCCCTTAATTGAATGTTTTCTTTCCAAAGACATTTTCAAACGATAACCCTTTAATAGTCTTATTTCCTATTTCTTAGAGTTTAGTAATCAATTAATAAAATAGAAATTGCAATTTGCAATTTTTAAAAATACCTTTGACACTAACATACAATTTGTGCTTTAGAAATGAGAAGAAAAGCAAAAGTATAATACGCAAAATGTTTTGATAAATGCAATTTGTTTGGAAAAAAAAACGCGATTTAGATCGGAAAAAACGGTTTCATTTCCAATGTACTATAACAAAACCGATTTACATTTCTCTGACGTGTCATGTCGTGACGCGTCAGAACGGTATCGGTACCTAAATCTAACCATATTAAATGTATGCAACCGATACCGTTCTGACGAGTCACGACACGTCAGACAAATGTAAATCCGGCTTATGTACAAGAGACTTTGACACCGAAATACTATCACGCAATGACGAAATTACAATAAAAGGGGTAAAAGTAGGAATAGGCATCGATTTGCCCCTGGAAAATTTTCGCACCTCGAACTCTAGGTTAATTACAATTTAAACATATCGCCAATTAGATTGTTTGATCGCACGCGACCAAATGTAAACGCGCACGTTGCCATGACAACTGCACAGGTTCAACGTGCTACACAATTTGGTCGGGTAATAATAGTAGGGTGGGTACGGATTGGAGACACTTTTGGGTAATTATTACATTAGATTTCTAATAGAGTGGCGCAAAATACATAGGTGAGTTAGTGTAAACCAATTTGGAGCTATTGAGGGAAAACAATACGAAGACGCTCTATACGACCTTTTTTTATACGACCTCTATTTTATACGTTTTCAAAGTGTCGCCATCTCTGAGGTCCCAACAACAGTAGCCAACTAATTTTTCTATATTGTCTCGATCTGGGTGTTTGTGGTACCGTCGTTGTTTCCGATTTCCATAATACAAGTATTTTCGTTACTTACTTTGGGATGAGAGCAACGTAATGTTCTCTTATATTTATATTTATTTTGTTTACTTATTTTTTTCATACGAAATAATGATACATAACAAATTATTTTAAGGGGTAGATATAACAGCGTATAGGTACTTCTGTAATAAGGTTCCATTTTTAAATTTAACTTTAATGAGCATTGACTTACAAATAAATGGACGACGGGTCTAATACAAAAACCACGAAAAAAATGTCCCAAGTCAACCTATTTAAACGTAGTGACATGTAAAGGAATATGAAAAAGCTAAAACGTTGAATTTAAATTGTAATGTCATCGCAGTACTGGCTAATTTTGCTTGCTTCGCTGTCAGTCGAACAAACGAAGACTAAAGCGTGAATGACGCTCTGTATACGATTTTAACGCCCTATAAGTTCGGACATTTTTTAGCGCGGACCCGACGTCCATATAATTGTAAGTCAATGTTAATGAGGTTTAAAATTGTACTGATAAAAAACTTTGTACAGCTTCTGCGTACTTGGATAACAAAAATCGAGGGCAGTGGTCACTCGCCCCTTAAGGTTACTTCTGTGCCATATTTTTAAATGAATATTTTGGATGATGAATTTGAACCAATATCTATTGGCAAAAAGCAACCCTAGAATTTCTTACTCAATCTTCTTAGGAGAATCTGCGTTACGAATGAGTATTAGTTCAATTGTTTTGACATTTTCCAGTGTAATTTACTTACCTGTGAAATAAAGATGGTTCGAATTTAAATTTCATTTAATTAAAAAAATTGTGACATTGAACTGAAGAAAGGTTTCGACGACTATATAAAATAACGGTACTGGAAAATATGTAATTTAGATTTGAGACATTTAATCATACAAATGTCTAATTACGCTAAAATTAACATTCCAGCATCGCGAATTGAAATTCAGACTTTTGTGAAAAAACATTTCCTGCAAAACGACCTCGAACCTTTCAAATGAAATCAAAAAGTCAAAATCAAAGTCAAAAGATCACTTATTCCATAGGCAAAATAAATGTACACTTGAAAATGTCACTTTTAAGCTTCTGCTCGTTCATTACGCTGGCTTCGCTGAGAAGAACGAGCAAAAAACTCTAGGGATTGCTCTTTTCAAATAAACTTATGCCTTTGATGCAGAAATAAACCTGTGCTATGGAATACATTTTGAATCACATTTGTGTGGAATCTAGAGCCATGACGTCTTTCCATACATCTTCATCTAACATGTAGTCTTCAATTTTGGAACACGACTTTTCAATTAAAATATTTAATATAGTTTTTGACCTTAGGAAATGATAAGTTTTATATATACATAATAAGAGAACTTGTATGAAAACATTAAAGACTATGAGAGAAGCTAAAAAGGTTTGGCAGGATCGTGCAAAGTGGTCGATCTATAAAGAATTAAATCTCCAGTACATCTCATTTATTCACAAAGTTTTCAATGTGCATTCATCCTAAAGGCAGCTGTAAAACAGTTAACACAAATGCAAGGTCCCCGTGGGCACAGGTGGGGCCAAAGCTAAACAGTGCACTTACCGCTCAATGTGCGGTAATTACCTTTGATTTCGTGTGTTTCATATCACCTGGCCTTTGGGAGGTAGGTACGTCTTTAACGAGGCTAATTGATAGAACTGGTTTTAGGAAGGGATATTAGTTGCTTTTAATATCTATACATTAAGGGATAGATCATGAACGCTACTTTTAAACAAAAGGGTTCTCTCTTTTTGTACGCAAGCCCAATGCGGTCTGGACACTACACACGAATGTCAGGGGTTGTAAACTTTCTTAGACGTGCAAATTTCACCGAGATGTTTTCCTTCATGGTTAGCGAGAGGTTACTAAACAAATGTACACTTTTGAGAAGCAGCCTTTCTATTTTCCCATTAGGCTACCATCGCTCAGCAAAGATGTTTAATTGATACCTATATTGATTCCGGTTCTGCACACGTCAAAATGTGATTGGCGGAAATTAATCCGACTCCAGATTGATCTAGAATAATCTATATTTAATAGCTAGCCTCCAAGCCCTCGAGGCGAACGTGGGCGAGTGTATTGAAAATAACTGCACTTTCCCGCCAACACGATTTGTAATTTTAAATTGATTTTCTTATACACCTGTGACAGGTACGACTAGGTTTCCACTAGAGCTATTTCTTTCATTTATCAAAATTATGCATTTTTTACATTTTCCTTGTTGCAGCATGCTCCGATCGCTAGACTTATGCGGTGAGCGTAAACCGGAGCTGTCATCACCAATTGCAACGGCGCCGGACCGTCTGCCTGACCGATTGCCGGACCGATTACCGGATCGACTGCCGGATCGATTGCCGGATCGATTGCCGGATCGATTGCCGGATCGAATGCCGGACAGGCTGCCGGATCGTCGAGCCGCCTCGCCAGATCGCGATAGCGAGCGCAGCGCTGAGAGAAACCACGACCGCAGGGATACTGGTAAGTCTCTCTTATTACTTTGACCGGGAATCACGTAACCTTTCTAACACTTGACGTCAGTTTGAAGTAATGTTGTGCCTTGTGGACGTGACTAATTCAATAGTGGTGATTGTACAGAGATGTTAACATTTGCTTTAAACTGGCGTGGAGCTTCCACAATCATCTAGTTGTCGTCAAGTCCCTTGGATGTCGATCGCATCAGCTTTCGATGTTCGCCCCTGTGATTGTCCGTAGCTAGACCGTGTTCGCTTCACTTTTCTGTCCGCCGCGCGGAGCCGAGGATCCAGTTCCCACCACCCGGCGCTATGCCGCTCACGGACGCGCGTAATCGTTCATAGGTTAACATTCGGAGCGTGAATTTGAGACAATGTGAAACATAAGAAACGCCGCTTTGCTTATAATTCGTACGATGTCGCCGCAACGCTTACGTACGTGCGTGATCCCCCCGTCCCCCGTCCCCCTCGCTCCCGGTGTCATGTCGCGTGCTGCGCAGGTGGCGAGGAGTGGACGAGCACGCCGCCGCCGCTCAACAACAACACGACGCACCACAACAATAACGGACCCGTGCCGCTGCCGCTGCCGCCACCGAGCCCCTTCCGCTTCGACGAGCACCGCCCGTACCGCTTTGCCGAGGACATGGGCCCGCTACCACCAGGCGCACTCGTTGGCCGCCTCGGTGACTCCCTAATCCCGAAAGGCGACCCCATGGAGGCCCGGCTGCAGGAGATGCTGCGCTACAACATGGACAAATACGCCAACACCAACCTCGATACGCTGCACATAAGCCGACGAGTCCGAGAGCTCCTCTCGGTCCACAACATAGGACAAAGACTGTTCGCGAAGTACGTCCTTGGACTCTCCCAAGGGACCGTTTCTGAGCTGCTCTCGAAGCCGAAGCCGTGGGACAAACTGACAGAGAAAGGCCGAGACTCGTACAGAAAAATGCACGCGTGGGCGTATGACGAAACGGCGGTCATGCTACTCAAGTCTCTCATTCCTAAGAAAGGTACTACATATTTTCATTATTTCTGCCATTGCATTTCTGTCGAGCTCCTACCGCTGACGTCGTAACCTAAATTCAAAAGTATTGTGTTTCAAAATCAGTACGTGAAATTCAAATCTCGCCTTTAACAACTTCCTGTCATTAATTTTTAACCTCCGAACTCGGCGACGCGGGCCGAGTTCGCCAAATATTTCCGACCTCATCGGCAGCAGCTCAGCATGTTTTGATACTCCATCAACCCCTCTCAATCTTCCGTCTGGCTGGCGTTATCAGCCACCTGACAATAGGCCATCAATCATGGGAAGAATGCAGCGATACCGAGCGTTTACGCGGCCCATTAGAGACCGAAACAAAGGGGCCGGTCGCACGATTTGTTTTTATATCGATGTCGTTACACTGTGTAATTGAGATATTTATACAGACAACTCTTAAGATAGCGCAAGTCATTGTATTTTACCTCAATGTGTACAGTAATTTCTTCCCTTTTCTTTTACAAACTACGCTATATCTAGCAGAGAGTCGTCTGTGTAAACAAAGCAGTCTTATCGATCGTTTGTCTCTGAATGCGAGTAGTTCTTTGAAATAAGATTTCAATGCATTCGAAACTGAACAGCCGCAGCCATTCGAATACTAACATTAAATGACTGCTCAATTAAAACTGGATAGACACAAGCAGCCCTCGAGTTTGGACTAACACACGAATTAACTACAAAACCGCTTAATCATTAGTGACCGCACTCTTAATTTTTCTAACTTTAATTTTGTTTATTTTTTGTTTGTTCCTCACCTCGTCCTAGCCTTGAATCTTGTCCTTCCTTTCTTCCTATCGCGTGCGGGAACTACGGAAAGATTTGTCCCCGCCCTTGTTACCGAAAGGGGGTGAGTCGGGTGGTAGTTTAAAGGGGATATGGTCAAGCGAGCGCGCTCCACCCCCACTGTCGCAGCGACTGTCGATTTATAGTTTAAATACGTGTTACTGTTGAAATGTCCGCCATTTTCTTTAAACGCTTCTCGATTCGAAATTTTGTATTTTTAAATTTCGACTCCACACTTTTTTTATTTAGCCAATTACAAAATGCAATTTCTGAACGTTCAAGAAAGTTCAAAATTCTTCTTTTTTTAGTAGCAAAATAGAAACATGTTTTAGTTATAAATACAATCATCCAACGGACAAAAACGTTGGAGAAATTATGGAAAAGCAAGCGGACACGCGCCTAGCGTCGGTTCACAATGAACGCTATCGTTTAGCATAGCAGTTTCTACTATCGACTATTGTCATTATTTTATAACAGATACTTCATAAAGCCTGAAGAATTGACGGCAGCTAATTTAGAATAAGATTACAGTCGCACCGTCACGTAGAAAATTCTAAAAATAGAAAATTCATTCCAGTCAACACTCTAAACCATATCTTTTGTTACCAAATCATAACCGAAGAGTGAATGGCCTCTGTTTCCGCAAACTTAGTTCCCTAAACTTACCAAGGTCACGGCGAAATCACGGAGGGAATGCTAAATAGACATACCTACTGTCTAGTCATAGATATTTCTGGGAGCCTGGTACTTTTATTAGAAAAAGTTGTGATTGACATCATTTGTTAGTCCTATTTACACGTACTCACATACTGGTTTATTGTTATACGTACTACGTAAAAGTAGTATGTGAAATTAAGTGCAGACAGGCAGACCTACTCGTAATGGGAATGCAGACGGAAAATTCGGAATTAAAAATTCGGTCGCATTGTAAAACAGTGTACACATTAATGACAATGCAGGACAAAGTATAAATCTGCGAGAGACAATAGGACGTTGTACATTAGCCTTTGTTCGTTCGATGGGGAAGAGCTCAAATAGATTGAATTTCAGATAATTCGAAAGGGTTGTTCTTCTTATTTTCCACGAAATCATTCCGATTTGGGGTTTACGGTTTTCGTTTTATCGCTCGATGATTTTTAATCACATTTCTTAATTTTTTTTTTCAACAAGAAATTGGTTCAAAATTTAAATTTGCAATTGCAATTTCTATGAAACTGTAGATCGTAACAAATAACCAACCAATGTGAAGTGTACTAGATCGAGCAATAATGTTCATATACAACGCAGTCTCCTCGTATTTGTCTTCATACATTGTAGCCGTAATAGACAACATCAATACCAAGGAAAGAGTGATTGTTCCCACGCGGTTGATTATTGACCAGTACCACTCTACATACAGGGTGTTACAAAACTCCAGTATGTTTTACTCTTTTGTTTATTCAACCTATTGGTCAACACGTGACCCTGCTGGGGATTTCACATGTTTTTGGATTGTGAACCTTCTTTGACACGACTTCTTTTAGGAGCAAGCTTCATTATAGAAGCAACAGATCTTCCTCTGAGCTCACTGCATAATAAAAATAGGCTATTAATACACTGAATTTGGTTATGTAATGTAAGCAAACAAAACACAAATATTGTAATTTTTATTGTGTTAACCTTTTTGTTAAACAATTGGGTTAAAGAACAATAATTGAATATCTATTCAATACAAATTTAATTAAAGTTAATAGCGACATTTCTAGCCAGGGCTGGTAGCTGTAAAGTTACCTAACTGGGTGACGAAATACTTTCATATATTTCTCATAGATGGCGCTACGGCTAAGTCGTTGGAACCCAAATACAAAGATGCGACAAAACAAGCACATAGAAAATTCGTTAGGTCCGCTGGTTCGTTCCGTGGCTTAATTGGCATAGGTTTGCTAGAAGACATTTATAACAAAGTAGTGGAGTAATTTCACAAAAAACAATTGAATATCAATTCAATACAAATTTAACAATTTGGTTTTCACAACAGCCTGTTTAGACAGTTATACCGGTAGCGTGACTAGGCTCATTATTAGTTATTACCCAGCGGATGTGGACAACTGGAATAAACTTCGATATTGTCTAAACATGAGATCTGCATTACTCTTTCAACGTCTTCAAAACTTGTTTATTTGAATTTGTAAGTTAAAAGTTACAGTTAAGTTTTATTTACCCAAAGTTCAATTAATTTACATAGAGTGGACAATATCTCATTCCGAAATTTCTACTGGAATTTTAAAAATAAACGGCAAAAACTGCCTCCGTGGTCGCACGGTTACTATGCTGGTCTGCCACGCAGGGGTCCTGGTTTGATTCCCGGGTCGGGAGATTTGTATGGCCTACATTTATTTATTCGTGACTTTGGGTGTAATTTGTGCTTGTCTATGTGTGTGTTCATGGTACCCGCGATACAGGGTTCTCTAGTGCGGGGTTATGAGTGCGTACGTTATTTATTTAATTACTGTCAAAGTGCAATTATAACATCTCTTTTTTTAATATTAGTTTTACGTCATTGGAATAAATCCATTAAGCCAAATCGTGGACATTCATTCAATATTTTTTTTTAATAGGTACTGTTTTTAATTTCTTGTAAGCTATTTTGTTGTGACATCATTTATAAAGTGTAATGTGGGGTTCATAACATAGCAATTACAATCTTGTTTACGAATGAGTATTTAAACAATTTGACAATTTAAAATGTAATTTACTCGCGTATAAAACAAATTTATTTTAAATCTGTTTCAGATAGATTAAAACCAAATGATATTTTAAAAACAATTGCTACCAAACTGTCTTAAGTCGCTGCGCAATCTAAAAAATAAGGTCACTCTTCAATTTCGCAACAGCACCATACATTACGCAGTGTGTACGAGCGATCTGTTTAACATACATGTCATTTGCTCCGTTTTGACGCGTGTGAACACCGGACAATCGCCGACACGCGTGGGAAAGAGGGAAACGTGGAAATGGCAACGATACCATAACGCCAAATGACATGGTATTGTGGACTATGAGTTGTATGGGAGTAATTGAGGGATTGATCAATCCTTGGATGGGAATGGAAAATCTTTGTTTGCAAAATCATGCAGTGTTTTTCTTTTCATATATAAAATTATACTCTCTATAGGTTAAAGGTTTGAATTATGATAACAGTGTTCATATGAATCACTAGCCACATATACTAGAACATTCATTTGAAAAAAGAATGGCTCCAATCGTCTTTCAATATGATAACACTGACTATATGAACCACAGGCCGCGTATACCAGAACGATTAATTTGAAAAAAGAATTATTTCAATCGTCTTTTAATTTCTATTAAAACGTTCTGGTATATGTGGCCAGTGATTCATATGAACATTGTTATCATTATTCAACCTATTATTAGCTTCCATGAAAATATGTAACACAGTCTTTAAATCATGAACACACCAAATTAACTACATACCTTTGCAAGCAAAACGGTTGCTAGTCGACGTTTCGACAACAGATTGCCGAGTGGCTTACGTACCGGTTTTCATGATGTCGCCATTCTGGGGTCCGGCTAGGCCAATGTAGAAAAACTATATTATCTCGGTTCCGGGTGTTTGTGGTACCGTCGTTATTTCCGATTTCCATAACACAAGTGCTTTAGCTACTTACTTCGGGATCAGAGCAACGTATGTGTTGTTGTCTTATATTTATTTATCTATGGCAAAATGTGCCTATAACAGTACTAAATGAAAACATCGCGGTCAAATCTGCACGTCGAAGACGGATCACAGCCCTTAGAAAACGTCTGGAGTATCCTACCCACGTTCAGCCAGCAAAACTAAATGGGTTTGATGATAACCAGTAAACAAGCAATCAATTCTTATTAATTAATTTACATATTAATGTGTAACTTTTTACTACTAAATTTAGAAGGAAAAAGTCTTTAACATGCTAAGACCGTACGAACATGGAGTAGCTATAAAATCCGTTAATGTTGTAATTGTGACCCAATACTTGCTTCATACGGCTTGTGAATAAGTAAGTCTAAGCCTCGCATAACATTGTCTAACTTTCTAGATTTACAATTGTATAACTAGAATTTCAAAATCAAAATTTCAAATTGCAAATTTATACTTTCGTATAATTTTTAGAAAATATATAAATTTATATTTGATTTAGGAATTCTTTG